ACTAACAAGTCATAAATAACTAAAGTGACAGAGGCTTCAAATGCCTCCTCGGTCCTTCCCAGCCTTCCACAGCATGGCAGGTATAGAATTGACAGTGTCTGAGATCCATTGTAGTAAGTGACAAGGGTGCTCCTAGCTAGAGGCAACCCCTTCCAGAAGCATCTCAACTATTTCCCTGCCTGATCCATTCCACACCTTTGTTATAACACTTAGCATGCTGCACTGGGACATTGCCTGTCTCCTCTGTTGTCAAAGCAGAAATTGCACTTGACAAAGTTAAAACGGTTGTGCCCCATACTTGCAAAATGTATGTGACACCTTAACAAAGGACCACATATGATACAGATGCTAAGCACCAGCTTGGAGTCTTCCCAGCTGTGGGCACTGCTGCCGCCTACAGGAGGCTGCCCTGAAGGCATTCTTCTCCTTTGTGCTCCCAGGACAAGTTAGGAACCCGGAGGGGACAGAGAATTTCCAAACACTGCTCTTCTGCTTCTGGCAGAAAATCCCTCTCCCTCATCCTACCATGCTGCTCACTCCCCTGCAGCAAAATTTAGAGAGATTTCTAGATGCTTTGGTAAAGATGCCATGGATTTTTGTGGCCTCAAGAAAACTCTGAATTCAAAATAAGCCTCTACAGTGAAAGCCCCAGTGTTTTTCCCTCAGCTGTGAAAGGGGGAGTAGTTCTGTAAAGTGAGGTTCAGGCTTTGAGATGAAAATAGATTTTTTTTCCATTTTTTGAAAATTGAGGTAGATTGACAATATTATATTAGTTTCAGGTGTGTAATATAACAAATGAAAATTTTTATAGATTATACTCCATTTGTAGTTATTATAAAATATTGGCTGTATTTCCCGTATGTTTTGAATGGTTAAAATGAAATTATAGGAGAGAATACAGACAAAACCCCTGACCTAATGGAATCTGCAGTCTGGCCTGGACCTGCCTCCCAGGTGCTGATCACACCCGGGCCTCACTGCACACCAGCTGTGCTCCACCCACACCAACTTGTCTAGTTCCAAGTGCCCCTTACTCCTTCCTGCCACAAGTCTCTTCACGTGTGCTTTCCTCGCTCACAACTCTCTTCTCTCTTTCCTCAACCACCACCTCTCCGCCTTTGCCTATTAACTTCTCTAGATCTTTCACATCTGTTTGAACTTTCCTTTCTCTGACCACCTTTCTTGATCTTTCTGACCAGGTCAACCCTCTGTGAGAGACTCTTCCTCCAAGCGCTTCCAGTTACCACTTGCACATTTCTTCATATGGTTTTCTTGATCTACCTCCCCCACCAAACTGTAAATACTGTAAACACTGTGATGGTGGAGACTTGTTCCCTGTAACTCCCTATTATTCCCCGCACCACTACCTGACAGTGCCTGTCGTACAGGAGGTGTTTAACAAATAATTCATGATTTATTTAATGAGTGAATGGATGAATCTGTTGATTTCATTTGCTTCAGTCTCCCTTGTGTTTGTCTTTCTCAAAACAGTTAACAGTATAAAGAAGTCTTCTAACAATGAATGCTGCTCTGTAGTTTTACCTGCCTAGGTAGGAAGAGGTTGTAAAGCTCATCTAGGGCATTGACGAAATGGAGGTACAATCCATGACCAAAATTATCCCTCTGCTTTTCCCCTGGGGCTTTAGGAAAAGAGGGAAAACCTAGCACTGATGGTCCCTATAAGGATATCACAGGCCATAATTGATAAGAATTATTTTAGAACCATTTCCAGTTACAGTGATTTTATTCAATAAAATGGCGTTCATCTCAATCTTTATATGGATCTTCAATCTCTAGATGTTTTAATGGTACCATGATCTTATTTAAAAATCAGCACTCTGAGGTCTAAGTGGTATGTTGATGAATAAATATCATAATTGAAGTTTGAATTTTATATAGTTTTTATATTCAGTTAAAACTGCTTTTTAAAAAGGTAAGTATCTTGGCAGTTCCAAAACCATTTACCAAAATTGTTCTGTATTGGATACTGGAGTGTGAGGTATCCTGGGAGCTCTGTAGCATTTAGTATTTAATGAGCAATAGCATGAATGATAATGTAACTTTAGGAAGTGGCAGAAAACCTGGACCCACTTAGAAGACAGCCAGTAAAGTCAATAAATAGTTATTGACTATTTCAGAAAAGATGATTCTGAATCATTTAAAATACATTTTTAAAAAATCATATTACACCTTGAAATGTTTTTGTCCCCTCCCCCATTTTGTTTTTTTGTTTGATCGTTTTGGCAATGAGGTGTGAAAAGATATGAAGGACAGCCAGGAGTGCTTAAAGCACTAAAAGATGGACTAGTTGATGTTTTTTCTTGACCTAAATTGGAAGTAGTCAACTATTTCTCATTCTAAGAAAATCACGAATCCATAGAATTACCTGCAAGGACATTTGATACCTAGGAGACTTAAAGTGCTAGCATGCCAGGGCCTGAAATTTATTCTAGAAAAGCTTTTGGCTCTTGGAGAAGATTCAAATAGATTATAAGAGTGTGTTCTGCCAGTTCTGAAGTCAAGGTCGTATTACCTAGTGATTGGAAATATTCAAAGGGTACTGTGAATGGGAATCTAATAGCATGTTTAGAGCTTGTTTCATCCAAATTTTGTATTATGATTAGTAAATATGATAAATTCATTTTAAAAAATTGTTTTTAAGAGAAATTCATTGCAGAGGGCAAAAATGTTCTATATTCCTTTTGTCTCAGTTAGCCTCACTGTGGAAAGTCTAGCTTTTCACACCACCAGTATTATTCATGTTACAGCATAATGCCTTATAAGGAAATAAATTGCCTCTGAAGAGTAAGGTTGCACACAGTGCTGTGAAGGGAGATCAGATATTGCCATGTCAGGTAAGAAACCCAAATGCCCTCTGAAGTGGGTTCCAAAAGGATTTTGTACTGTGGTATTCACTTCATTTGGGACCCTTAGCCTGGGAGCCATGGAGGATGGCCAGAAAGCACCTGACCTTCAGGACAGCACACTGACCTCTGGACAGCAGAGGATGGGAGGTTTGATTTCACTGGAGCCCACAGGATAGGTCCCCACAGGGAGCAGACCCAGTAGGCGCTCAGACAGGAGGGAGGGGAATGCAGCAGGTTCTGCAGGTAGAGTGCTTGTCCTCTCTTCCTGCTCAAACTCTCAGTAACCATCCCTTTACTTATGTCACAGCAGTATGCGAGTTAAAACTCAAAGTAAACTTGGAAATTAGCTAGTTAAATTCACTTAGATTTTAGAGGTGAAAACCAAGACCTAGAAAATATAAGGTTCTCCCCAATGTATTTCAGTATTTATGTTTAAATGTGAGTATATGACCTGATAGCACCTCTCTGATGTGGAGACCTAGAGTGGGCAAAAGCACACGGTACTAACTGTCCATGCCAAAAACGCATGCATTCAGCTCCCTGACCGTAGCAGCTCTCCTGAAAGTGGCGGCCTAACCTGAGTTCCCTTTGCACTGTGATGAGCAAAGCATTTGTGAGGGGGAGTTCAGTGCAGAGGCTGTTGAGGCCCAAAGGATCTGTCTATGGAGAACAGATGGCCCTGGAAATGAAAACTAACCTCACAGAGAGAATGGTGTTGGCTTTGAGCGTGCGTTTTTCTTAATTATGTTAATTAAATCTGAAAAGGAACATTTTCTAGGAATAATTTGCCTATAGATGAGAAATGCTTCTTGGCCCCAGATACATTTCCTCAAAGGGTGCGTCTTGCTGAATTGCTGCTCAGAGTGCTTAGAATGCTCACTCTAATTTCTCTGTACAGGCTCTTTATCTCCTATATTTTATATAACAGTTTCTACAGGGAAGAGAATATTCTGATTGAAAAAGGATGGAGGATAGTATGGGGAAAGGATGGAGGATAGTAAGGGAAGATCTCAGTGGAAAATCCATTGTGTTCCTTCCTGTAAATTAAATCCAGGTCCCACGAGGACAGCTTCCTTACGGAGCTCACTTCGACAGTCTATACTGAGTATGACATTCCCAGGCTGCATGGACAGGGATCCAGTTCACCTGCTTTTCTGCCCACCTTGGGAAGGAGGAGTGTGGTGCCCCTGTCCCCAAGGCCTCCCTCAAGGAACCCTCAGCATTTGTCAGTCAGCTCCTTCCTCAGAGACCCTGCTGACACCCACAGCACTATTGTTCAAAGTAGAAAAGGGCCACTCCGGGCTCTAAACCTGAGCCCTATTTCTGCATAGAGGGTAGAGCTCCCACTTCTCCTTCTCTTCCGTTGTTAGTTAGGCAAACAAGCAACATCTCCAATTCTCTGTGCAGACAGTTAGACCCAGTTAATTCTCTATTTTCACAGTACTAAGGTAATAAAAAACATGGAAGATCTTACTATTCTATGCCACCAAGTCGTTTCATGGCTGAGAAGACTTTCCATTTTCACAGTGGTGGCACGACTAAGAGGAGCAGCCTCATCGCACATAAGGAAGGCCCTTTCTCAGTGCGTAATCCCAAACTGACTAGGGCCAGCTGCTCTCTGGGGACCTACATGTAGTTCTCAGTACCAGGGTATGTGCCAGCACCACCCACCCACCCCCCAAGCCCCTATTCCAACCTTCCAGTACCAAAGACTTTCCAGTCCCCCTCTCTTCTCCACTGGTCCCTCCCCTGCTTGCTGTTGAACACACACACTCATGGACACCCTGTGCCTCAGGCAGCATAATTATGCCTTTTCCCCTTACTATGCTAAACTTTGATTTCTTTCTTTTCTACATACAAAGCTCCCTTTGTAGCAGAGATATAGTTCTATCTCTCTGATTTGAGCAATATCATGTTGTTCTGATGCAGACTGTTAAAGTTAATAACTTTGTTTTTATGTACCCAAACACAGAGAGACTATAATCTCTCCCACTAAAATAGACGTAAGAATTTGTAGCCTCATATTTTGTTTTGGGGAGAGAAGATTGGTTACAAAACTGTTTTGAAACTATTATTAAAATGTGAATATTGAATATAAACTCTAATTTAACACAATTTTCTCTCCTTCTGCAGCACCTGAAATTCTTAGAGGCTGTGCCTATGGACCTGAGGTGGACATGTGGTCTGTAGGAATAATCACCTACATCTTGTAAGTGAAGAAGAGCAATCTCTGTGCATACTGTTTGCCTTTACTGTAATATTTTCTAGGTACTCATACTTCTCATAAAAAGCAAGATTTCTTTTTGACTTTTTGTGATTTTCTATGACATTCTAAATGTAGTTAGTGATAGGATCTTGTGAAAATGATCATTGCTTTTTATTTTGCAGTTTTCTTGGATCCAGAACATTGTCTAGGGCTTTCCTGTGTCTCATTCTGCTATGCATTGTGTAGCAGATTTGGGGGAATAATTATTTGATAATGAGCATGAAACTCAAGTCCACATATTAAACTTGCACTTACTTACTTTCATCTCATCAAAATGATAAGTATTATTCCTTTTTAGAGGACAAATTCCTATTTGATCTCTGAAGCAATCTCAAACAGGTATATTTCTTACCAGGAATGTTTCAAATGAATTTTGCCTGTCATTTTTGTTTCCTATCTCTGTTAACTTGTCAAGGACCTTTAGTTTAATACCCTAAACTCAGAGAAACCTTTTCTCTGGTAGAAAAAAAATGAGCTATATCTCTCACTCTCTGATATCCCCAACTCCATTCCTGAGCCCCTGTCTACTAATAAACAAGGGGTTTCGGGAAATTTGCTAAAGAGATGATGGAATTGCAGACAAATATGAGAGAAATAAGCAATGATGGAGTGTCTGGGGAGGAAGATTGCTGTTGAACAGCTACGAAAGCAAGATATCAGTGAGCTCCAAAGTTTAATTCAAAGCAGGTAGATCTGGTTGCTAGTTAGAGGATACTGCAGACTTAATTGTTGGAATCTAGAATATTGAATCTGTAAAGATATTTTGAAGAGTGTGAAAGAAAGGGAACCAGTCCGTTCAGGCTGCTATAACAGAATACCACAGAGTGGGTGGCTTAAACAACAGAAACGTCCTTACGTAGTTCTGGGGCTGAAAGTTCAGGGTCAGGGTGCCAGTAGGTCAGGTTATGGTGAGAGCTCTCTTCCTGGCTTGCAGACAGCCACCTTTTCACTGTGTCCCCACATGGCAGACAGAGGAAGCAAGTTCTCTGATATCTCTTCTTAGAAGGGCACTAATCCCATCACATGACCTCATCTAACCCTAATTACCTACCAAAGGCCCATCTCCAAATACCATCAGATTGGGGGTTAGGGCTTCAATATATGAATTTTGGGAGAACACATTTCAGAGGTTTGGTTTGGTTTCATTAATTTAGTTCTGATCTAACTTTTGTCAGCCCCTAAACCTGGGGACTTTTTATTTAATCTGTAGTTTATTAATAATGGATGAAGTCCACTAGTCGAGGTTCACTGGAACATTTTCCCCAGTGGATTGTGCTGTTGGGCTTATGTATCTCTTTCATTATTATGAAGAGTTCTACCAGGCTATTTTGTGCTATGACCTTGCTATTTCTAAGGATAACAGTAGTCTATCTCTGTTGGAAATGGAGGCCATTTTGTTGTTTCTCACAGGAATTCTGGTCCCTCTCTCTTTTACCCCTAAACCCTTTGTCCCCACAGACAAAAGCAACTACTACAGTTCTCAGGTCAGAATGATAATCAGGTCAAGTCAGATATTCAAATTCTCTCCTTCAGTTTTCAACACTACAATTCTGCCAATGGCTTGGAGCTACCCTGTGTAGTACAATCACACTTCAGGCCTTTATAATCCTAATATTCTCCTAAACTGCCATTGTCAGCATTCAAATATTTCCATTTCTGAAAGGTTTTCTTACTCTGTGTGTGTGTGTGTACACAAGTGTGCTGCTCTGTGTTACCTTTCTTCCATTTTTGGCATTTCAGGCTGATGACATAAACCTTTTACCTCTGTCACCAGTGCACAGATTTGCTGACATGATTTAGATGAAAGAAAGGCATTTGAGTACTGTGCCTTCTGAACTGTCATTTTTCCCTCTACATTTCTGAAAGGGGAAACATAAGAGTTCCCTAAACTAAGCCTGGAGAGTTGGCTAATTTCTCTACGACTAGCCAACAATAGGCTGTAATTTTCTAGTGATGTGAGGGCAGAGGAGGGCCAGGTGAGACTGAGCTGCCTCCTTGGTAAGGTGTGGACATACGCTCCCTTCTCACCTTAGGCTGGAACAGGATTCTCTGTGGTGTGGCTGTGCGGGGAGAGGGGGGACACTCAGCCCTCCCTGAGCCTTACCTTTTCCTGCCTGACTCCAGAACATTTGAGAGATACAGAGACTCTCCCAATGGGACGTTTCCTGAGCAAAGAAAGGGACATGAGAAATTGCTTCTTCCTAGAAACCCACTACGTTAGGCTGCACTGGAACATTTCATGCTCTGCACCAGCCTGGCCAATTTGAAGGAAGAATTTAGGAAAATGTTCTGTAATTTGTTCATTCTTTTTCCTTCATTCTTTTTCAAATGCAGCACATGCCCTGGCAGGGATATTTTTATAGTTCCCTTTTGGTCTCTAGTGATTTCAGAACCTCCGTCCACCTATAAACTTTGGAGGTTTGGAGGTCAGAGACTGGCGACTCGCTTTTCCCCTCTCTCTTTAGGATGCCAGAGGTGGTTCTCTCTGTTTCTTTTCTCCCACTTTTCTCATACATTTTTACGCAGACCTGTGGTGAAAGATGAAGGTGAACATAGTGAGATGTCTTTGAGATGTGCAAAAGTGAGGGTCATACACAAGGTCAAGGTAACGCTAGGCTGCTCAGCTCTGCTGGCTGCATGTGCTCACCACGGTAAGTGCTAAGAGGCCATTCCCTGACAATAGTGTCAGCACCTATCTTTGTTCATTCTCAAATTCAAACTGGAATAGAATGGAAATCTAATATTTTATTTACCTCTGTGGAAGAAGTCAGTGAATAAGGCTGAGTAAAAATGACTAAAAACGTTTCTTTCCACCTTTTCACTTTTTTATTCTCAAATCTTAACTTTTCCATTCTGTAGTAAGTTGGAACTCTAATCAATCTGTCTGTCTTCTTAATTCCTGGTGAAAAAAAAATCCATGGAAATAGCACTATAGCATGGCACCTCTAGTAGTGTTAGCTATTATTATTGTTGTTTTGTGTTATAATTTTTTATAGAAATCTTAAATTGGCTTTGTGTCTATTCTTACTTCCTGAAGACATGATTGTGTGTATATGCAATCAAAAGTGAACTGTTAACGGGACCATTACATACTTGTGCTGAGCAGACTTACCTTGATAACAGGAAGCTGTGAAAAAGGACAGTCTTGAATTTCTGCAGAAAATTGATGAAATGTACTTAGGCTTCTAAAAATATTTTATTCTCTGTATTTTGTCCCTCTAGACTTTGTGGATTTGAACCATTCTATGATGAAAGAGGTGATCAGTTTATGTTCAGGAGAATTCTTAATTGTGAATATTACTTTATCTCCCCCTGGTGGGATGAAGTATCTCTAAATGCCAAGGATTTGGTAAGTGTGATGGAAATAAAATGTAACAAAATGAAATAAAATCCTTACATTCATTTTTTTCTTTTTTTTGTATTGAGGTATAGTCAGTTTACAATGTTATGTCAGTTTCTAGTGTACAGCACAATGCTTCAGTCATACATGCATTTTTAAAGAATTAATGGGCAATGCCATTTTTTAAATTTGCCCTTCTTACTATCTTATTTCCTTTTAATTGCAAAATACTTTTAATGAAAACAATGCACATTAGTGCATTTTCCTTATAGATAATGAAAAACAGATATATTTATCTCTAGCTGAATCATCACAAATTATAAATTACTGCCATATTAATTAATGAGTTTTAACCACCTAGTCAGTGTAGAGCCTTGCTTATGAAGACAGCTGTGCTGGGTGAATCCAAACATAACTTATGCAGAAGAATTCTGTTTTAAAATGGCTTGTTATCACCTAGATTAGTTATACTTTGAATAAAACAACATTGCTTCTTGAAATACTACAAACTTACTAAAATATCCTGGTAGTAAAACTGGCCCCATCATGCATGATTGGCATTATAAACCAGTTACATTGTACATTTTGTCTGGGTTTTTTTGTTTGTTTTATTTGGCTTCTCACTTCAGGAAACTTGAAGTTTGTTTGCACTCAAGAAACACTCCCACTCTGGGGAGTTGATTCACCTATTCTAAAATAAGAATACTAGTATGTGCGTGAACTATTTACCATCAATCCTCTAGAGAAAAACCATGCAGAAATAACTAAAAGACGACTTTTGAATCATAGAAGGTTAGATCTCCAAGGGGTCTAGGAGTCATCTAATCTTCCCCACATTTTAAAGAGGAGTGTGCTAAAGCCCAGAGAAGAGAAATGACTGTCCAAGTGCACACAGCTTCCCAGCAAAAGGCATTATTAAGAACTAAGAATCCAGGTTTCCAGACCACTTAACCATTTTCCCTCCTTACCATCCATGTTCTTTCATGAAAACGGATTCCATACAGGCCAAGACTTTTCCAGTGTATCTGGGAAGAGATGCAGTGGTGTGATATGGGGATGTGTCATCCCAGCTCCTCCCTCACGTCAAGCCCCACACTTCTAAACATCTCTTGGGTCCGTCCACTTCTCTCCACCTCCACCACAGCTGTCCCAGTCTTCGCCCCATCCTCTCCTGGTCCACAGCCACAACTTCCTGTCTGGTCTCCTGGCCTCTTCTTGTGCCCTTCTCAAGTACCCTTTCCACACAGGGTCCAAAGGAATGGTCTTATAAGTAAATCACATCATGTCATTGTCCTGCTTTCAGGCTCTGGGGATAAACTCCAAACTCTTTAACAAGCTCTACACAACATTAGCTCATCTGGAGCCTGTCACCCTTTCTTGTGACGTTTCACATCGCTCTCCCTTACTCTCCCTTCCAGCACACCAGACTTACAGTCCCTCATTAGCGTAGCTATAGGATAATGGCAAGGCTTTGGGTTTGAAACTTGACAAGATCACTGGATCTCTCTGATCTTCAGCAAATTTCTCAATAATTCAGTGCATCAGTATCTTCGGATAAAAAATTAATAAATGACATCTAGAAATTTTTGGTACATACTAGCTTTCAGTAAATTCTTTGTATTTTCATGCAGAGGAAGATGGTATTGATGAGAAAGAGGAAACGGATAATTGGAAAATGAGAGGGAAATACCTACTTGTCAAGGATGTTGTAAGGATTAGGTGTCATTTATATAAAATTATTAGTATATGTGTTCAACAGATGATAGCTATGACTCCTATCAGATTTGTATTTACTACCATGCATTCTTTCTCTTAGTCTTTCTTATCTCCCTCCACCTCCTGTCTGAGTTTAAGCCTAAGCAGTCTTATGTCTTTACCCTTTTCAAATTCAGTGTCTCTACCCTCCTCCCCCACATTTCTTTGCAAATGCTACAGAAAGAAAGTGAAAGGAAAACCAAGTATTTATTCCTCATTCGACTTACCTGATTTTGTTAACCTGTGTTCAGTTCTTAGGTTATGAGAGTTAGAAAAGACCTTATGCCTTAAATCATCCAAAGCCCCTCATTTTACACATTGGCAGACTGAAACCCAGAGAGGTTGACTGCCTTGGAGGCAGTATGGTGTAGTGCATGAGACAGGCTCTAAGGTAAGACCAACCTGAGTTTTGAGTATAGCCTCCACCAGTTACAAGTTGTCTGACCTTAGACAAGTCATTAAATCTTCCTGAGCTTCCTTCTATTGCTCATATATGAATTGGAGCTAACAGTTACTAATTAATAAGGTTATGGAAAGGATTACATGAATTTTTAAAATGTTATGTGCACTTAAGAATGCATATAGAAAGGAATTTGGGTGGAAATGAGGTCATGTGAAAAAAGGACCCAGGAGGGCGTCCGTTTACCCACTTCATATGTGGGTTTTTAATCTAAGGTCACAGAATTAGTTAGAGACCTTGACCAAGTTGTATTTGAACATGCCTCCTGATCCAGATATTCTCTACCCCCACTCCGGGTCACCCCTCCTGAGACCAGGGCTGGGGATTATTTTGTTTGTTGATCTTCCTGGCAATTTACTGTCTGCTCATCCTTACAAGAAGGTAAACCTCCCAGAATGGACTACACTGGTTTGAATTCAGTCCTTTAAACAAATCATACCCCAAAGCCACTGACACCTTTGCTTTGATTTTAAATAGGCTTTTACTCCAGCTCTTGGCTTATGTCTTCAGGTACCCCCAAGAGATTAGAGAGAGCTATGAAGTTCATGATGGAATCATAGTATAATCAGAATGGCTATGATACTACCCCTTTCGTTTGCCATTCAGTCCCCATAGAATGATGGATGCAGGAACGATTCCATCTCCATTGAGATGTATTTTAAGTTCTGAATTCTGAGTGATGTGGAGTGCAGCCTGGAATTATTCAGATGCTGGTTCTCCTTCAAAGAACTTCCAGTCCATAGGCAAGGCAGGACTTGTTTCTTTGACCTCTGTGGTCAAGCTGTCTGCCAGTTGGGGTTCTCAGGTAGTGCACACCACCATCTTCTCAGACTTCCTCAGCTGATGCTACCTGAAGTGACCTCTTGGGGCTTAATTTTTTTTTTAATGTATATTTAGTGTACTGCCAAGGAAATAGAATAAGACCTAGAAGTTCACACGATGAGGGACAAGCCCCGGTCAACATAAAAATCTCCCTAAGAAGTCTGTGGTTCTTTATTATTTTTCAGGTCAGAAAATTAATTGTGTTGGATCCTAAGAAAAGGCTGACTACCTTCCAAGCTCTCCAGCACCCCTGGGTCACAGGTAAAGCAGCCAATTTTGTACACATGGATACAGCTCAGAAGAAGCTCCAAGAATTCAATGCCCGGCGCAAGCTGAAGGTAAGATGGCATTTATTTCATTTTATTTAAAAAAAGATTTCACTCATATCTTGACGATCAAAGATAATTAAGTCCACTATTATTTATCTAATACTATTATTCGTCTCCTGTGGTACCAGGAAAAATCCTGCTTTGAAATCCCAACAGTGCTGGTGTAAAGCACACACAGTTCTGTTATCCTCTCATAAGAATTCGTTGTTAATAAAGGGAAATATGTTGTAAGTTGAGATTAACTCACCAAACAAATACATTATCACTGCTTCTCACTTAAGGCTGAACTGCTTGAACTGAATTGTTCAGGAAGCTGATATTTATTCAGAAAGTTCTCTTCTTTCTGAATATGCAAAAATTGGGAAACAATTTTAATACCTTTATTTTGTAATATAGGTAAATATTATCATATTTGGTAAAAATTTAAAATAATTCAAGTGATAGGGAATGTTATCAACCGAAATATATCTCTTTTGTTGAATATATATGGAATAGAGATTAGCTGCTTTTCTCTTACATAATGGTGTTTAGGACTAGCGATATGTACAGGGGATCTCAGAGAACATTTGGTGGTCAAAAATAGTTTTCTCTTCAGCAATTGCTTACAGGCTGATACTAAATAAACCTGAAGGGTTCCATGGTCAAATTAATTTTAAATACTCTAGATTAAATAACTCTGACCTAACCCAGGATTTCTCAAACAAATTTGATGGTGGAACTCTTTTCTCCGTACTACCTATTAATATCCATGGAACTAGTGTTCCATGAAACACATACTTTGGGAAACACAATCTAAAATTTTTGAAACCTAGTAGTCCATTGGAAAATGCATTTACTCAGGCTTTCAGTTGTCCAGATGATTAAATACATTAATTTGAGATTAAAAAGCTTTTGCTGTTTATTCTCTCAACAAGTTTTCATTAGACAATCTTGAAATAATATACTTTCAGAGATTAAACACTACCATATAATAACAAACTCCCTGAGTGCAAAATTGAGATTGAGCTCTGATTTGTGATTTTAAGTGGAAGTAACACCTGACATTTTTCTGTTTCCAATTAGGCAGCAGTGAAGGCCGTAGTAGCCTCTTCCCGGCTGGGAAGTGCCAGCAGCAGCCATGGCAGCATCCAGGAGAGCCAGAAGGCCAGCCGAGAGCCATCTCCAACTCAAGATGGCAATGAGGATGTTAAAGTTATTACAGAAGGAGAGAAAATTCAAGGAGATGGGGCCTGCGTGGCAGTTGAGGGGGCAGAGGCTGAGCTGTTGAAGGTGCAGGCCGTAGACGAGGTTAAAGATGCTGATATAAATGCTGCTGAGGCCACCAAGATGGTGTCCGAGGCAATGGAGGATGGAATAAAGGAGGCTGATCCGGAAATAGAAGAGGGCCTAGTGGAGGAAAAGCTGAAGACTACTGAGGAAGCAGCAGCCTCTAAGGAAGAGCAAGAAAACCCTGCTCTGGAATTTGGAGTTCAGCAGAATGATGTGATCCTGCCAGAGAACTAAATTGGCTTCCTTCCAATCTGGGAGCCAAATCCTGGCACTTTATGCATTTTGTCCTTCAGCAGGGAAGGGGTGGAAGCATGATGTGCACTATAGTGATTCTGTTTTGGGGGTGCAAAACAAAATACATATATATCAGTTGGTAATCCTAACTTCAATGCATGTGACTGCTTTATGAAAAAATAATGTCTTCTATGGTACGTAATGGATACCTAATACCGATGAATTAAATTTGAAAATGCAAGTAAGTAAACACAACATAACATTTAAAAACATACATTTTCAGGGACCAGTAGCACACATTTGAAGTAAATAGCAACAAATTGTTTTTGCTTTGAAAGCCTAGCCATCCTATATGCTTTGATTTCTTCACAAGGCAGTAATTCCTTTGGACTGTTGCTCAGCTAATACTAGTTAGAGCATGTGTTCCCATGACAGTCACAATATTTTCAATAATGTGTTCAAACTGTTTTCAAGAAAGTGGTTAGGTTATAGTTGTATGGTATGTGAAAAAAAAATCCACATATAATGGTAAGAAATTGAAGCATACTTTAAGGGCTATGAAACTGTATGCCCCTAAAGCTTGTAAAGAGAATGCTTTTTTTATCTTGTCTTTATTTATATATACCATATTACTAATAACCAAAAATGTCCTATCACAAAATCCTGCCATTTTACAGTCCTGGAAGAAGTATTTTATAAACTCATGCTGAGGAATGTATTCTTTCCTTCACTTGTCCTCTAGTAAGAAGTCCTTCTGATGAACAACACTTAGGGTGGAATAAAGAAATTTAGGGAAGAAAAGGAGATAAGACTAGAACTTACAGTAACAAAGACTGACTCCCTGTCATTTTTCAGGTAAAATTGAATTTATTCATGAGCTTGTACAACTTTAAGAATAGGAACATTTTTATGGATAAACTCTCTAATCACCAAATTTCAAATATTTTGAAAAATCTACCCTAAGGGCTGGTGCCAAAATATCTGAATAGAGTGGGAATATCCCACTATAAGATCATTCTTTATTGACTTTACTATCATAAGGAAATATTTTTGCTTATAAAAGTCCTTTTTTCCTTCAGTTGATGGTTATTTAGATATAATGCTTATGAACTAAAGACATTTCTGAAAAGCTAGTATATCTTTTTCTCATATTTGGAATGGAAGCACCCATAACTTACAATGTAGTTTTGAAAGTTTCCAGGTCAAGAAATTTAGGATAATGCAACTTGTTACTTTCTTTAATAAACAAAAACAAAAAGAAATAAAGAAAAAACAGATTTTAAATCAGAATCTTGAGAAGCTATAACATTAGACCTAATATTTTACCTTTTGTTCCCCAAAAGATTTTTCTTCGGTTTTCATGTGAACACATCTCCCTTATAAAAATCACAGTTAAATTCCAAGTACCTCAGATTTATTTCAAGATTGAGCTGAAATGAACATTTTCATCAGGTTAATTATGCATCACATTTTTAGTAGGTTTCCTTAATTTTAAAAAAGGATTATTTTCAGGCAAAAATGATGGACAATAAAAATGACTATCACATAAAAATTTTCATCAAAAAAATGATCTTAAATTCTTTTGGCTCTTCCTCAAAACTATTAAGTGGGAAAATGAAATTAAATCTCTGGTTTCTGAGGGCTTTTGGACCTTGCAGACATTCTGCTTTCCAAGTATAAATCTTCCTTTACTACTGTTCTCAAGAGAAGGAAATGAGATAGAACTTCTCGTCTTCCGTTATATAGGGGCCTGACAGACCACTGACATGCAGGAAAAAGCCCTTAAGGGCACATCTGGTCTCAGAGAGAGATTGTTTTATGATTCATTTTATTTTTATGAACTAATAGTACTTTATCTTCTTTATTGTTTCTTCTTTATTCTCTCTCAGAATTCCGATTTTACCTATTATAAGGGGCTTACTAATTTTAACCTTTAAAAATGACTTCTTCCCCAAGCATTAAGACTTCCATTTTAAAAGACCAATTCCTGGTATACTTTTCCCACAGAGACTTAGCAGTATATATGGTAAATGTCCCACATATTGGAAAGGGGAAGAAGAGAGGGAAAGGAATCTTAATGGAAAGTGGCAATTACTAGTTGGAAGATAAGAACATCTTGTCCCTCCCAGCCCACCTCCGTATTGTTCCAAGGCAGTCATTGGATCATTCCAGCACTCAGGGCCGACGGCACTGGCTGGACCTGTGGACTGTGCAGTGTGAAGAGCACTGCAAACGCCAAGACCAATGTGTGTGTAAGAATTTACCCATTTAAATGAGTACACATGCCTGTTCCTTGGTGAGTACTTCAGGGTGTGAGGGTAATTTTCTCTTTTTTAACCTGTAAATTGCACTCTCTAAAAATCAGTGGGAGTTTTAAATTTTGACTTGTATGTTAAAGATTGTCCTGATAATGCGTAAATAGTGACTGATTTAGTCATTTCAGTGGAAAACAAGGCAAACTTTCATAGGAATTGGTCATTTTAGCCAGATGATTCAATCTAAGATTTTATAGGGATACGATTTAACATTTTTAACATTTTTGAGAGAGCAGTAAACATTTATATTGCTTGTTAAAATGGGGTATATTATCTATCTCAAAGATAATTTAGCTAAATAATGTTAGACTAATGCAGATAGAAACTTAACTTGATGGGCTATTTCATAATGTTACCTTAATGGACAATATAGTCACAAAGCAAAATAATTAAGGGAATTTTAGCAAAAAACAACAATTACATCTTGCTTTTTAGAGCTGACAGTTATTATGTTACATTATTAATTTTTGTTTACAGATAAGTTCAGATACATAACACAAACTATTTTGCCATAAAGAAGGACAATCTTGAATTATTTCCCCCATTTAAAAAGTCTAGTTGGAATCCCAGTGGTTTTTCTCAGACCATAAGAGCTCATTTGTCCCATGAATATGTAAATAAGGTAGAAATTAGAACAGTATGGCTGTAGAAGTTACTGTCTAGAACAAGTGCTAATATAAATATGATATAAACCATGTATGTAATTTTAAATTATCTCTTAGCCATATTTTAAAAGTAAAAAAAGCAAGTTAACTCTATATTTTAATCTAATATGTCCAAACTATTATTCCAATATATAATCAATATGAAAAAGAGATCTTTTAAATTTTTTATTTTTATACTAAGTTTTCAAAAGCAAGAGTTGTATGTTACACCTTTAGTACAAATGCTCAATAGCCACATGTGACTAGTGGCTACTATACTGGAAGAGCACTGATCTAGAGCACTTTTTAAGCAAAATGACACATGAATTTCTATGCTTAGATTTGAGCTGCCTCAGTTTTCCACACAAATAAGTTAGTAGAAGGCCAAAAAGCTGTTTCAAAAATGTCATAGACTGAAATGAGTAAAAACTCTATTGGCTACTTCTACTTATTCATATGCTTCAAATGAAGAGTATTTCCCAACTTGACTTTTAGAAAATAATACTTGCCTGGGCATTGATAAGTTGTCTTTTGGCCACAGTTCCTCTCATCCCTCTCTGGGCCCTGGAATCTTGACTGCAGGCTAACGTCTCCTGAGTACTGCCATGATTTTGGTTCTCATGTACCAAAATCTACTGTAGGCAAACCATGTGTGTTCATTCAGGAAAGAGTGTGCACTGAACTTGAATGGAATTTTGTAGGCCTGAAATAAGCTGGACACCATCCTTGTGCTGCAGGTAATATTTCTTTCTAAAAATCTTTTGAAGCATACCGAATTTGCATGAGAAAGACTGTATGATAAGGATGATGATGTCATCCTAGTTATCCCTTAAATGTGAATATGGCCATGGCTGGCATTTTTTAGATTTCCTTAGAAAGGTTTAATCAATACTGCCATTACACATGGATTCAAAAGACTTTAACATTTTCTTACATATTGCTATTTCACAATAATGCTCAAAATTCTATAGCCATTTTTAGTGGCAAACTTGAAAAGAAACAGTTTGTCTTTTACTGTGACTTCAATTACACAGTATTTTAAACATATTTGTAATTTAGAATGTTTAGCAATCCCTATTTCCAGTTTCACATGCAAGGTAACTCCCAGTGAGTTTCCTGCAGAAAGATTTAGAGACAGCCATTTTGTTTCATAATTCAGTTGTTTCACAGAAGCATTTGGCTGAATTTCAAATCAGAAAAAGAAAAGAAGTAAATGCCAGAAAAGGCAAAGGATAAAATTAGTAAACCATTTATTCTGTTTTAGGATTGTCCTTGCAAAGCAATGCAAAAAAAAAAAAAGTCAACAAAGTGAATCAGAGCTAGGTTTTTCTTGATGAGATCGACTCCACATAAATTGACATAAATACACAGAGCAGAGTCAATTACATAATTACAATGCCATTATGTAATTTACTTGTCATTGCAGAGTGTTCAGTCTGGTTATCAAGGTCTACTTTAGCTGGTGCAAAATTTCCAGACATTAAACTACGTAATAGGATTTGTAATATCCTTGTAATTACTGCCTATTAGGTCATATTCCAATTTCCTTATTGTTCATCACTGGTATGTTCCTGATCAGGGTTGTTGCTAACTTTGAGCATTTACTGGTCAAATACTGCTTACTGGTTAGACTATGTGTGTATCTTCAGTGTTTTTTTAAACATTTATGCATATATAATCTTAATATTGGTATTGTACTATTCATAACCATATGATAAGCAGAAATTTAACAAATAATTTTCTATAAAACTTTTTGTTCAAAGTCCTTTTCTCCCCCTGGCACAACTCAGGGTGAGTTTCTGGCTCCTTGACAAATCACTGGAGAGATAACAGCTATCCATCCATGGTAACCAAGTTCAGCATTTCCTTTTTCTATATCCTGATCTATTAAGGGCCAGTTTTTGTCATTGTTACTTTCAAATGTCTCTTGAGATCAGATAATATGTCTTAGCTCACAAAGCTCAACCATTTACATACTACCTTGGAGAGCAATAACAAACGACTAATTTATGTTTGCTCGTTTAAAATTCTAATGTTCATACACTGTCTATGATATACTCTAGAGGATTTGATTGTATGATTTTAACACCCCTCAAGATACAGCCTTTTTCCTGTCACCTGGCTCAGAGGTCACCTAGGACGAGATGGAAGCCTTGCCATGAGAGTGGACCATCTGAGTCTTTGGCAGGAATCAGACATTGCGGTAGAGAAGACCCCAGGCATCTGAATTGGTCGGGCTCAAATGAGCCAAATGGGAGAAGACCTCTTCCATGCTTTGACTGAAAGTGATACTGTTTGAATATTGGTATAGTCAGTAATGGAAAATGGGATTCCACCAATCATTTGCTCTTCCCATGACTTGGTTTGCTACCACTTATCCCAGACCAATGTTTTGTTCCATCTCTCTGGCTGTCAGGCCACCCTCTGGGACTTTGAAATACTCTTAAATCCTGGAAAGATTATCCCAGCCTGGTTGGAGGAATGTGGAGCCTTCAGTGGCCCAGAATTTAGTTTGAAACTATAAACAGCAATGCTTAGACTGCAAAATCACACTGTTCGTCTTAAATAGTTGTTTTCAGCACATTTTGAAAATTGACCTGGAATACCCATAGCTAGGGAATATTTATATCTGTGTAATCTTTGCTGTGGTTCACTGTGTTAAAAACGACAGATACTTAATCTTCAGTCAGATTATATGATAATCTTTATTTTTCATTTAAGAGGTTATTTTGGGCTACTCAAATACAATAGGCTTCATATTAGAATTTTTGAAAGCTGCTGTTTTACCTAAGCACTCTCTAACTCTGACCATCAGTTGTGGATGATAAAAATTTACTAGGTTTGTCCTTTCCTTGATATGTATATGGTGAATAATCTGGTTTGTAAAGGATATAAGTAAGAATGACTATAAATTGACAACTGTCATAACTGCCTCTTTTTAACTTCACCTATTTTTATAGCCTATCATGCAGCTAATATACAGTAGCATACAAATAACATTAATGAGCTACAATTTTGTTTACATTTTTTGTTGCCAAGATTATTACTTTTTTCAAAGTGTTTCTATCCTTGCACGCTTAATGTCAGTAATATTTTCATGGCCCCCAAGCCAAAAGAATTAACTCACATGCCCATTCATTGTTAGGTCCAAACAATGTAATAGTAGTACTATATTTCTGACATGTTGCTGTGTTTCCCTTGACATTCTAAGATGTCCTATGAGTTCACTGAGTAAGAACAGCAGACAGGTGACAGATGTTTAAGTCATTCTTTATGCTCAATGAACTACAGCTATCAAGCAAAAAGGATTATTAGTAAACAAGTTAGAGGATAATGTTTATACTCTTTCTTATTTGAATGCCAATCATTCTTTTATCTGTGGTCTTTGTGATATACATATAAAGCTTACATATGTTTTTTTTGTTTGTTTTGTTTTGTTTTTTAAGTAATAGCCACATAATTGTCCAAGGAAACAAATTTAAATCTCCAAAGAACAGTTTTCAGGAGTCAGGCAAACTATGGTTCACGGAGCAAATCTACCAGAGGCCTGTTTTATAAAGTTTTATTAGAACACAACCATGCTGACTTATTTATACATTGGCTATGGCTGCTTTCATGCTACTAGGACAGAGTTTAGTAGTTTCAACAGAGACTGTATGGCCCAGAAAACCCTAAAATGTTTATCTGGCCCTTTACAGAAAAAAATTGATGACCTTGATTTTTTTATGGCACCCTGCCTTTTTGGTGATATCTAGGTATACAGATTACAATACTCCAAATTTCTTCCCCTTAGCTTAAGGTTCTTATTCCCATTTGCTTCGTAGGAAGTTTGGAGAGGTTTGTTTCAGTGCAGGTGGTCTCACAACAATATTTTTTCTGGAAATACAAGTAAACAGTAAAATTTCCCTACAGAACTAAAAATTCAGAAGTGCATGATGCCTGAAAAAAGTTTAGAGTATGAATTGACTTGATTAAGAGAGAGGAATTTAAAACATTTCTAGCACTTTGAGCATGTTTTAGAAATTTGATCCTTTTATTTAAAATCATGTAAATGACAGTTTACATTGCTCACATTTAAGTTAATCTGCAGCTGTTACTAGTAAGCTAATAAATGAGAGAGCACTTTGGTTCTGAATCCTTCAGAATATTTTCAAGTAATTTATACCAATTGGATTTTCATTTAATAATTTTTAGGAAATGTGCTTTATTATGTGACATTCTGAGACAGTGACTTGCTCATCAATAGCTCAGGGAACAGGCAAAGAGCCAACTCCTTTATATAAGAAAACTACTTTCCAAACCCCATTTTTCTGAGTGTTATATATTTTGTTTCTTCAAAAAAAGAAGGCCTTGAGTAAATGCTTCCCTTTACTTCCTTTTCTTATGTATTTAGAAACCCAGGAAGGGCCCTTCTCTTGGTCTATTTCTGTCACAGAGAAATTATTCATTCCACGATATCTGCCTTAAGGGAAGCAAGTGACCCAGATATTGAGAATGCGGCATGCATGACTTTTGTGTTTGACTTTGAACGTCTGTAGCCAAAAGGTTACAAATGAGGTATTGAGTAGAAAATCAGCTTATTTTTAGGAATACCTAAAATGTTATCATGACTCTAATTAAATAATAAATTGTTTTCTTTAAACTACTGCAGCAATCAATATGATGTAGCCACTTGGATACACTGTAGAACTCAGGAAAAGAAAAAAGATGAATTGTCTGCCAGTTCCTCGTTGATGTGAGTAGCAGGGAGACACTACTGGAATGCAAGAGGGAAAAGGTAAAATGTAGATTAGTGTTCCACATTCCCACCTACCCATTTTCCTTGATTGCTGAGTTTGAAGGCAGTTGTTAATGGACTTAAGTTGTAATTTCTAAATTTCTTTCAGTATCTAGGTCACCTGCTTCCCTTAGAAATGAATAAACCAAAGTCAGTAGCTCATTTTCCTCCCAAAACAATAAGCAGTGTAGTTTAGGGGATATTCGGCCTACATCACAAGCACAATTTTAAGGAAATGATTTGCTGATTTTGAAGATTTCCATGAGCAGCCCATGCCAAGAACTCATTTTCTCAGTAAACTTTCACTGAGAGACAGTTACGTACAATGAGAGTCAGAGATGAATTAAACTCATGCTACCCGCTAGGAGTGAGCTTTGTAGTTAGAAAATACAAGTGTGTATATATATAGCCTGTGCTAAATCTAGGCAGGCGGTAAGCCTTCGGGGAGGGAAAGCAGGAAAAGCTGCCTCTGCTTGGCACAATCAAAGGAAGCTCT